TTGGTATTTCCTTATAGTCCTATAAGTATAAGATATGTAAAATCTCCTAGGGCTAGGAGAGTTTTGGTGTCGAGGATATCTCGAGCTCTTGTCCAGGGCCTTCAGGGTTTAATATAGGGGCCTTAATAATTCCCTATATTATGTTGGGGGGGGTTCCTTAAAATAAGTATATACCCCGAAACCCGATTCTATTTATTAAGGCCCAATATTCGGGTCCCAGGGTTCCAGGCTTCAGGCGCTCGGGGTTCAGAGGCGGGCTTTTCGAGACAACTTGGAGTCTTCGGGTAATATAGGGGCCTTGATAGTTAAAATACAATTTGGTGTATATTATACTAGAATTATAATGAGGAAGCCTGAAATAATAGTATAGGTAATTATTGAGGCCCCTATGGTAAAGTGTTCGGGGCTTAGCGGGTGCGAAGAGAACTGAAGGGACTGCTGTGGGTGGCCAGGGATGTGGCCGGGGTGTTCTTGTAACATTCAGCAACTGTCTGCTGCTTAGTAGGGAATGGGGGAATGGATCCCCATGATAGTCCCTTTAGGTCCCTTATAGTAGTCCCTATAACCCATTCCCCCATTCCCTACGAAGCACCAGACAGAACAGTGATCCTCTCAATGTTCCTTCACGCCAAAGGCGCCGCATTGCTCCGGAAAAGCCCCTTGAATCCGTCGCTGGCAGAGGTCCGCCTGGATCTTCAACGCGTCCAGGCGGCGAAGAAGGCACTCCAAGAGAAAGAGCAGGCGCCATGGCATGTATGAGCAGCGAAGGGGGTCTCTTGAAATAAGAGGCACATCCGTAATTAGGTGTCCGTATGCTGAGCATACTTCTATAGAGGGTTCCGAAGAGTCCTTTCGGCTAATTAGCCAGTTAAGCTCCGTGCCCCTTATCATCTGATCGTGTGACCCTGTGATGCCCCTTTGGGAAATGCTCGTATGAAGGAAAACAGGACTTGCTGTTCTTAGTCTTTGGCTTGAAAGACCGCGAATTCCCTGAACAGCATCCTATGCCTTAGGACTTTGACTTCGGTTCTCGGAAAAAAATCCAGGGTCCTAGACGCCAAAACCCCATGTTCAGAGCCTCCTCCGGGTCAGGCCTTCATGTGCAGGCAGTCTGCAGACTCTGTCGCCGGGGGGGGGGGGGTTGGAAGAGCCTGGTCCATGTCTTCACGAGGATGAACAGCTGCCAGGTATTAGAACGCTGCTGCCACGAATTATGTTCAGCAAGTATTGAGTATGACCACTGTTGGTCGTTATGTGGTCCTCTGTTAGCATCGATCATAGCATTATTGTCATGGTTCTTTTGGATATCACTCTACCCACCTCTTCCCACTATCGGCCATGACTGCCGGGGTTGCTTTAGGCCGACCAGACCCTCCGAAATGCCCACGGCGAAGGACAGGAGGCAGCAGGGATTGATTCTCACGTACCAGAGTGGAGTGTCTAAGGTACTGTCTGCATACTCGGAGCCTTAGGCTATAGGATCTTTACTGCTCAGGACTTGGGCTTCGCACTAAGTTTGCCGTTTGGGGGGTTGGAGGTGTGCAGAGCTTGGTGTGTGGCTTTAGATTTTGAGTTCTTGCAGGCTTCAGTATCTAGAGTTTGGGTTGTAGAGATATACACGGGTGCCGTATTTTTAGATTCGAGTTAGGCTCGCCTGCTGTTTTCTGAAGTTTCACGTCTGGGTTGTCCTCGGAATCCTCGGAACCCTAAACCCAAAACTCGAATAGGATGTCAAGCTCTCCTTTGATGTCTGGGACGTCTCCAAGTTCCAACTGGCGCTTGATTCCATCCTGAGGGTGGCATCTTAAAGGACTCGACACCCTAAGCCCCGAACACCCCAGGCCTTAAAAAATTCAAAGACCCCCCCAATCCCCAAACCCCAAACCCTAAACCCCCCCGACCAGATGCGGTAAGGAAAAGAGGTGTCAAAAGAAAAAGGACCCTAAACCTTCAAACCCTAAACCCTGAACCCTAAACCCCATGCCCTAAACCCCATATCCTGAACCCTGATACCTTAAACCCTAAACCCTTAAACCGCAACCCTATAAACCCCTAAACCCCACTCCTATAAACCCTAAGCCCTAAACCCCAAACCCTGCACCCCAAACTCCAAACCAAACCCCCAAACCCTAAACCGTAAACCCTGGAACCCCAAACCCTATGTAAACCCTGAAGCCCCAAGTCCTGGGATCGAGACCCGACACCCCACATCTGGCCCCAGGTTCTCGAGAAGGCACTTCAGCAGTACGGTGAGGCCGATGCCACATCCCAGCAGGAGCCGGCCCCTCAACCCTAAACCCCAAACCCTAAACCCCAAACCCTAAACCCTAAACCCTAAACCCCAAACCCCATGCAAACCCTAAACCCTAAACCCCAAACCATAACCCTAAACCCCAAGCCCCTAACCCTAAACCCCAAACCCCAAACCCCGTGCAAACCCTAAATCCTAAGCCGGGGGTTGGACATTTTCAGGTTTAGGGCTTCTTGCAGCGACCTTTGCGTTCAGCTCAACTTTGCCTTCGTTGCGCAGCCGTTTTATACGACTGTTCTGGGTAATGTAGGGCCTTAAACATACGAATAGGTTTTGGGAGTCCTTTATGGTGCAACTATAATAAGGAGCCCCCAAAATAATATAGGTCATGATTGAGGCCCCTATATTACTCTAGCATCGACTATTTCCTTTACGCAAGCTATCACCGACAGGACTGTTGTTGAATGGGCACCTCTTCTAGTACCCATATGACTCCTAGAGACGGCTTGAAAGAATCCAGTCGGCTGCAAGGAGTGCGCCGTCGTCTATGCAAATCGCTGCCAGGCCAGTTTCATGCGGTTCTTTTTTTTTTTGCCTGGCAGGCTTCCGCAGTGTTTGGGGAGCCCAGGGTTCGGGGTTTACATTTCAGGGTTTAGGGACTTAAGGTGCTGGTAAGAAGAAGTTGCGGGCTTGGGAAAATTGGCAGGAGCATGGCAGCTCGGGTTACTAGTATAGGTGCCGTAATAATTACCCATACTATTTTGGGGGCCACGTACTATAATTGCAGCATAATTAAATCCTATTCTAATTATTAAGGCACCACAAGGCACCTACATTAGGTCGCGAGCTTCATTGCAAGCCCTCTCCCTTCACTGTTGATGCAGTCGCGGCTGCTTCAGGCTGTAATCTGTATGGCTGCCGGGTCCTAAGCCTAAACCATAAACCCTGAATCCCTGAACCTAAATGCTAAAGCATAAGCTCATAAACCCTAAACCCTAAATTGCTGAGAACCCTCCTCGTGAAAGGCCCCAGCTTCCCACCCTCACTGATCCAGTCGCCGTCCGACATGACCCGACCCAGTAATTCCGTTACAGAAGGCTTGCTCCTGAACTCGAACACAAGAAAGAGACGCCTGTCTGCGAGGAGTAGCGATCGCAGCAGGAGCAAGAGTGAAGGAGGAGGAGGAGGAGGAGGAGCAGCGGAAGTAGAAGTAGCAGTACCCGTTGCAGGAGGAGTAGCAGTAGCAGTAGTAGTAGTAGTAGTAGTAGTAGTAGTAGTAGCAGCAGCAGTGCTATTAGTGCTAGTAGTAGTAGTAGTAGTAGTAGTAGTAGTAGTAGCAAGAGTAGGAGTAGTAGTACTA